TCATCGTTTTCACTCCGCTGCTCTCTCTTTACCTTCCCTTCACGCTGATGGACCCACCTTTCATCCGGACTCTCTCATTGACTTTTTGACAACAACTGACTTACTTCACAAACTCTGATGATACCTTCAGCCCTTTCTACCTCAATCTCTTGCTACCCTCTACCCCCGTACTATCCCCTGCCCCGCTGTTTTCTGTAACCTACTGATCATCCCTCCCGCCTCCTGCCGCCCAATACCCTCGCTTCCTTCCCTACCCTGCAGCGCTGTATAGCCCTTGTGGCTTAGTGCTTCTTTTAGATTACTATAATAATAATATTAATATTGAAAGGACTAGGGGTAAGACAGAGTATGATTTCAGCGGAAGAATTAGGATTTAGGAAGTATGCGATGTGTAGACCAAGTGTTCATAATGAATCACACGAGTGAATATTACTTAAATAAGGGTAAGAGCTGTTTGTTACATTTATGAATTTAGAAAAGGCATGTGATAGGGTGGATAGGGGAGCCATGTGTCAGATATTGCACATACATATATGGAATAGGATGTAGGTTTCTAAAAGTAGTTAGGAGTTTTTGTGCAAAGAGTGAGGCTCAGGCTAGGTATATACAGAGTACTGTGGTAGGGAGGGTGACTATTATCCAGGAAAAGTGGGAAGGACATGGCCATGGATGCAGTGATATCAGCAGTCATTTAACAAGGTTATAGATGGGGTTGTAAATAAAAGTGAATGCTATAATCTTCCATTTTCCATGTTTCTTTCGCCATACAGCCTTTCCGAACTAGGCTTTCATCTCTTTCTCCAAAAACCCAAAACTCCTCCAATCACCAAAATTTCCTTCCAACCTATTGTTCCTCCATTCTTAACTTTTCCTATCTCTCTGTCTTGCTCCTTACCTTCTGCTTCTGTGACAGTGGAAATCCATTATTCCCCCCCCTCCCCCAATACTGCCACTAGTCCCCTTCCCTATCCCTATCAGGATTCCTTCCTCCCTGGACTCTGCTAGCTCATTTTGCCAGTTTTACCATTCTCTCCTCATGCTGCTCCATCCACCTCTTGCATCATGCTGTCTGCTGCCTCCTAGTCAAAAAAGAATAAAGATTTTATTTCTTTGCAAAGACTTGCAGCTATATCAGCTTATACGACCTCTGACACCCATTTTTGTCTTCATTTACTGTCACCCACTTGTAGGAGGCAAGTGAGCTGTTGTACATGGAAGTGAGGAAGAGCAAATGTAAATTATTAACCCATGTTCGAGTTAATAATTTGCTGAAGGTGTCCCTTAGGGATGTGTCCTTAACACCACTCTTTTTCTACTTGCTATAAATGATCTGGCATCTGTTCTCCTATCTAATATTTGGTCATTATTTCATGTTAATGACTTTTCTATAGCTTGTGCAGGTGCTGACTGTAGCCTTGTATCAGCCTCACTACAGAATGCTTTCATCTGTGTTTTCCATTGGGCCACTACTCATGGGTTTAAATTTTCTGATACTAAAATGCAAGAAATTATTTCACTAGATGTTCTGTGGTTTCTGATACTTCATTGTATCTGTACGACTCCTGTATCCCTGAATGTGACAGTCAGATTTCTCGGCCTTCTGTTTGATCGCCAACTGTCCTGGAAACCTCACATTACCTACCTGAGAGTAACTTGCCATAACTGGGGGCAAATCATCAGACACTCAACTACATTCAGCCCTAATTTTTCCAAAACTAGACTGTGGGATGAGATATATTCTGTGCCTTCTGCCACAACCTTTCTAAACTTGATCCCATCCATCATCAGGGATTACATTTATGTTTAGGTGCTTTTCGCTCCTTCCCTGTCGAGAGCCTATATGCAGAGGCAAATGTTCCAACCTTGAACGATCAGTGTGATGCCCAGTGCCTCCATTATTTTGTCCTCTCTCATGACTTCCATGATCCTTCTGCATACGGGATAGTAAGACATTATTTGATTGCCGCCCATATTTACTCCATCCCTTTTCTCTTCATTTTCTCTTGCTCTTGACTTCTTTTCAGTTGCCCCCTCTAACTTTTCTTTTTCCCTTGGGAGGTTCTGACAGTTGAAATCTGCTCTTCCCCACTGCCATGTGCGAAAACTCAAATCCCTCAGTTGCTTCTCGCTCACTTTTTCTTAACCACTAATGGTCTCGTTCTCCTGCCATTGCAGCTTACACTGATGGTTCTAAATCCTCTGACTGTGTCAGGTTTGCAGTAGTGTTTCTGAACAGTGTTGTGCGAGGTCATTTATTAGACTTAGCTAGCATTTTTACAACTGAACTGTATGCAATTCTCATGGCTATTATACATATTGTGTCCACATGAAACTGGAAGGTCATGTACCACTGACTGTGTAGCAGAGTCTGCCTGCTCACTGCCCTAAACATCAACATGACCAGGGACCCAGCAGAAAACAATTTCTGCTGAGTCCCTGGTCATGTTGATGTTTAGGGCAGTGAGCAGGCAGACTCTGCTACACAGTCAGTGGTACATGACCTTCCAGTTTCATATAAAGTATTAAATACTCAGACTTGTTTTACTTGAAGAGGGTTTCAGGGGTCAACGCCCCCACGGCTTAGTCTGAGACCAGGCCTCATGGTGTATCAGGGTCTGATCAACCAGGCTTTTACTGCTGGCTGCACACAAACTGATGTACGGACCACAACCCAGTTGGTCAGGTGCCTGTCCGGTGCCTTCTTGAAGACAGCCAGGGGTCTATTGGTAATCCCCCTTATGTATGCCGGGAGGCAGTTGAACAGTCTTGGGCCCTGGACACTTATTGTGTTTTCTCAATGTACTCGTGGTGCCCCTACTTTTCATCGAGGGAATGTTACATCTCCTGCCGAGTCTTTTGCTTTCATAGGGAGTGATTTTCATGTGCAGGTTTGGTACCAATCCCTCCAGGACCTTCCAAGTGTATATTATCATGTATCTCTCTCATCTGCATTCCAGGGAATACAGATCAAGGATCTTCAGCCATTCCCAGTAATTTAGGTGCCTTATCATACTTATGTGTGCCATGAAAGTTCTTTGTATACTCTCCAGTTTTGCAATATCTCCAGCCTTGAAGGTGGTCATTAGTGTACAGCAGTATTCCAGCCTAGAGAGAAAAAGCGATTTGAAGAGAATCATCATGGGCTTTGTGTCCCTAGTTTTGAAGGTTCTCATTATGCATCCTATCTTTTTCCTAGCAGATGAGGTAGATACATTGTTGAGGTCTTTGAAGGCAAGATCCTCTGACATAATCACTCCCAGGTCCTTCACATTTCTTTTTTGCTCTATTGTATGGTTAGAATTTGTAGTATACCCTGATACATTTTTAATTTCCTCAAGTTTTCCACATCTGAGTAGTTGAAATTTCTCCTCGTTGAACTTTGTTGTTTTGAGTAGCCCATTTGAAGATTTGGTTGATGTTCGCTTGGAGTCTTGCGGTGTCTTCGATAGAAGTCACTGCCATGGCAGCCCACGTGTCAACTGCAAAGGAAGACATAGAGCTATGGCTTACATGTCTGTCTATGTCCAAAATGAGGATGAGGAATAGAATGGGAGCGAGTACTGTGCTTTGTGGAACAGAGCTTTTCACCGTGGCTGCCTGGGACTTTACTATTATTCTTTGTGTTCTATTTGTCAGGAAATTATAAATCCATCTACTAACTTTTCCCGTTATTCCTTTATCACGCATTTTGTGTGCTATTACCCCATGGTCACACTTATTGAAAGCTTTTGCAAAGTCTGTGTATGCTACATCTGTATTTTCTTTATCCTCAACAGCATCCAGGACCTTGTCATAGTGGTCCAGTAGCTGGGACAGGCAGGAGCGACCTGCTGTAAACCCGCGTTGCCCTGGGTTGTGTAACTGATGGGTATCTACGTGGTTGGTGATCTTGCTTCTTAGAACCCTCTCAAAGATTTTAATCATATGGGATGTTAGTGGTATCAGTCTGTAGTTCTTCGCAATTGCTTTACTGCCACCTTTGTGGAGTGGGGCTATGTCTGTTGTTTTCAGTGTGTGTGGGATGACCCCTATGTCCATGCTCCTCCATAGAATGCTGAAGGCATGTGATAGGGGCTTCTTGCAATTCTTGATGAACACAGAGTTCCATGAACCTGGCCCGGGGCAGAGTGCATGGGCATGTCATTTATTGCCTTTTCAAAGTCTTGTGGAGTTGGGATAATATCTGAGATTTTTGAGATGACCTAATTTTGGGTTTTGTTCATGAAGAATTCATTTGGATTGTTGACCCTTAATCTGGGCAGCGGCTCGCTGAACACCGAGTCATATTGGAACTTTAGTACCTCGCTCATTTCTTGGCTGTCATGTGTATGTCCCAGCCTGCCTAAGCAGGGGCCCAATACTGGATGTTGTTTTTCCCTTAGATTTGGCATAAGAGAAGTATTTTGGATTTTTTTCAATTTCCTTTATGGCTTTTAGTTCTTCCTGTGATTCTTGTCTCCTGTAAGATTCCTTTAGCTTAAGTTCGATAGTTGCACTTTCATTGACCAGTGCCTCCCTTCGTATTTCAGATATATTGGCCCCTCTCAGCAGCTCTGTGACTCTTCGCCTTCGTCTGTATAGGGAGCATCTCTCTCTCTCTAGTTTACATCTCCTCTTTCTTTTTCTTAATGGAATGTGTCTTGAGCAGATCTCAAGGACCACAGAGTTCATTTTTTCTAGGCAAATGTTCAGATCTGTGTTGTTTAGGATATCTTCCCAGCTTGTTTCATTTAGGACATGCTTGACTTTGCTGTAATCTCTAGCCACCTTCACAATCATTGGCAACAACAGTGCTCTGTGTTGATTCATAGCAAATTACATTCTGTCTAGCCAAGATTTGGATGCTGGTCTTCTTATCGATGTCATGGTAAGGAGACTACCCATTCCTGTCTTCACATCAGGCACACACATCTCAGGAGTATCTCATGGAGAGATGCCCAGTTCCGCTCTGTGCGAATTGTCAGATTCCAATTTTAGTTTACCATATTTTGTTGGATTAGATTGTCCTGTTTATCAGCAAGCACGCAGAATTTACCTCCAACGTCGTCACCACTTTAACACTCTTACTTCATCTTCTCTCCTAGCTGATGGTGCCACCTTTGACACATACTCCCTCTATGACTTTTTGGCAGCAACAGATTTCTTACACATTGATTATACTTCCTTTAGCACTCCTCACTGCCCTTATGAACTCTTCCTCCATTATACTCTACCCTCACTAGTCTCGGATCAAGCATATTAAACCATCAGCACATCCTGCCTGTGCAGCACTCTGTGACCCTTGTGGGTTTAGCACTTAGTTTTGATTATAATAATAGTCTAAGTCATTCTGTCCTGTGATGAGCAAACAACCCAAGGAAGAAACTGGAAGCATGTCTCAAGTAGTGCAAAGATCAGAGGTATCAAAAAGGTCATGGTGACATCAGTACTGGGGTCAAGCAACAAAAGTGCCTGAAAGAGGTACCAGGTTCCAAGGAAAGTCCGAGATTGTGCAGAGGTCATCAACAGGTTGTGTAGGAAGATGATTTTCCATAACTTAATCACCCTAGCTCCCTCCCTCCCTCCCCATCCCCATTGTTTTAGTCAGCTTAACAGCTGACTGAAATAAATGACCCCAGGGTTAATAGAGAGGTATGCATGGGTACCATAAACGAGCTAAACAGCAGCCACAGGCTCAAAGTGGTGCCCACTCATTGATGCTTGCTTGGCCCTAGCTCAACACATTGCTCTTACCAGACAGGAAAGAGCAATGCTAAACCAACTGATTCAGTGGGGCCAGTGCTGAACCTCCTGTCTGAGCTCCGTCCTTCTACCAAAGAAGCATTTTACCTATCTGTGGACTGCAGTTAGGCAATACTGGTCTTATCAACTTCCAGCCAGAGGAAACTAGAATTTACTGTTAGTTATGTATGCCAAACATGCAGGATAGTGTTCAGTTAGGCAACTCCATGTCATGGCCTTCCTGAGGGAGCCTAAGCTCATCTAATATGGCCAAGACATTGTAGACCATAATATCACACCACAAAAAGAGCCTGTCATCAGGGGGGGTTAACATTTGAAGAGTTATCAGTCCTCTAACTTGAAGTTTACCTCATGAGTGGGTGAGATTGTTTTTGGTATGATTTTAATTAACATGTGTTTTAGAATTCTAGGTAGTAGGTTGGTAGACAGCAACTGCCCAGGGAGGTACTACCGTCCTGCCAAGTGAGTGTAAAACGAAAGCCTGTAATTGTTTTACATGATGGTAGGATTGCTGGTGTCTTTTGTCTGTCTCATAAACATGCAAGATTTCAAGCATGTCTTGCTACTTCTGCTTACACGTAGGTCACACTACACATACATATACAAGCATATATATACACACCCCTCTGGGTTTTCTTCTATTTTCTTTCTAGTTCTTGTTGATTTCCTCTTATCTCCATGGGGAAGCGGAACAGAATTCTTCCTCCATAAGCCATGCGTGTTGTAAGAGGCAACTAAAATGCCGGGAGCAAGGGGCTAGTAACCCCTTCTCCTGTATATATTACTAAATGTAAAAGGAGGAACTTTCGTTTTTCCTTTTGGGCCACCCCGCCTCAGTGGGATACGCCGGTGTGTTGAAAGAAAGTGTTTTAGAATGTTTTTCATACATTATTTTTATTATAACAGTGTTGTACTGGGTTAGTTATATCTATTTCTTACATGAAGTATATTGGTTTTCAGCCACATGGGTTTGTATCCTCACTTTACTAAGCTGTATTTTTTTCTAACATAGTACATAAAATATTATGAGAGATCTTGGATTCATATGACCAGAAGTTTTTTATTAATATTATATATAAGTATTATACAGGGTAGTTTTACACGTCATGTATTTTGTCTCATTCGCAGAATGATATCCTTTTACCACTCACTTGAAGGTCAAGAGTACAAACAGTTAGTGGAAGCCATACAAGACAATGAAGATGAGAATATAACTACACCACTGAGTACACCATCTCCTCCACCTACTAACCTGAAAGGGCCACCATTGCCACCAAGACCAGCAACCGGCCTCAAATGGCGACCTTCATTTCGGCTTCGTTGTCAAACTTCCCCAAGAAATACCAAGCAGTCATTCTCATTTAATGCAGATATTCTCCAAGAACTTTCACTCAATCAGCATAATGACATGGACACAAACACCAGAGGTACTACTAGCCAGGAACATCATGCTAAATCATCATCCCCTAATAGTGTGACATCTAATAATACAAGCAGTACAGAATCTTCAAGTAACTTAATTTTGTCAGCTATTAAAAATAGTGATTTCCACCCACAGTCCTTAGAAAACAGGAGAAACAATGTTATGAGAGACAGAGATCAAGAAGAGAGCCAAGCAGAGACACTAACAAACCTTGCACCGGCACCAAGCAACTTGGTAGTGCATATTAAGAAACAAGGTTTTTCTTCCACCACAATCTCCACCAGTACTGTAGCCAGTGATATTGGAAAGTTTCCAGCTTTATCATTCCCAGCCTTGAACTGTTCCAAAGCTTCAAAAAGTTATTGTAATTCCCACTGATCTTTAATTTCATGCTTTGTTGTAGTAACATTATTTCATCACCCAAAATATATTTGTTTCTAGCAGTAGAAATATTTCACCTTCATCATTCCACTTTAATTAAAGGAAAAATATCAGTCTAATATTTATAAAAAAAAGTGAATAAAGGTTGGGGTGTATTCTTTTGTATTGTTGTGTAAAACTACTTTGAAAAGTAACTACGAAGTATCAAGTACGTGGTAATGGCTCGTTGTTTGAACTGACGAAGTAAATACGTAGTAGCATGGTTCTCTAAAAATTTTATATAGATTGTGTACATTTGTCAAATAAAATTGTGCATTTCTGATGTTATTTCTGTTATAAGTCATGCAGTTTCTTGCTGTTCAAAGAGGCTTTTATATAGGAACAATGTCACTGTGCCCTACACTAGTGTGCTCTTTCTGTGAACATTTTTAAGGGTTCTATCTACCAACTTAGCCTGAGATTAGAATTCTTGTTGATTGCCTTTCCAGTCAAGCTGTACACTAATATGTCTTAAAAGAGGTGTCTTGATGCTGCAAGAAATAACACTCAAGCCCATGTAAAGGGGAAGTAACCTTTTGCATGGTAAAAAGGCTCTTGATCCAAAGAATTAGATCTCTTATCTCCTTCCCCTCTTCAAGGGGAGCTCCTTGCTCCTGGGCGTGGTGAAGATGCTTTTGGTCTGAGGAATTGGACCTTTCAGTCTTCCTCTTACAGAACCTAATTACCCCCACTCCCCCCTTCACTGCCCCATCCTCCACATCCCTCCTTTCCCCAACCCTCCCCCTTTTCCTTTCCTGTTTTCAACTATTTGGGGCCCTCCCTGTTGGTCTGAAGAATTGGACCCTTTAGCCTTCTTCCTCTAATGGAACCTATTTACCACCTGATCCTCCCCTTCCCTGTCTCATCCTCCCCAACACTTCTTTTCCATTCCTCCTCTCCCTAACCCACCCCTTTCCTTTTCTTTTTTTCAGCCTCTGAAGTTCTTCCCACAGGCATTCTAGTTCCTAGGCCAGGGAAAGGGTACCTTGGTTCACCCCATTCCATTAAGGTCCTTGGTAGCATGACAGTGACAAGTTTATTTAGCATGATACATGTTTGTACAAAGGAGTGTAACAATTTGGTGAACATGCCAAAAACCCCTTTATATGCAGAGTATTTCAGACAAACTTAAGATTAAAAAGGCAATAACTGTGCAGTAACTTGACACATGGTCATTACTGAGTTACAATGTATACAGGAAATTGGAATATTCATCTAGTTCATGCTATATGGCTTTAGTAAGTTCAGTAGAAAATAATTACAGTTTTGATATTGTTTATAAAAAATACAGTACAGTACGGCATTTCACCTTATGGCTTTCCACTGATACGGCGATTTCAAATTATCGCCAAAACTTGCTATACAGTGACCGGATTTTCTAATATGGCGCGTCCCACCCAGTTTGTTTACATTCTCCGTGAGCACCTCTCTAGTATGTCCAGAAATTTTGCAAAATTTCAGTTATTGCATATTTTATATGTATTGTTAAAAGCACATGATGGGGGCTTCTTGCAGTTCTTGATGAACACAGAGTTCCAGGAGTCTGGGCCTGGGGCAGAGTGCATGGGCATGTCATTTATCATCTTTTCGAAGTCATTTGGCATCAAGATAATATCAGATAGGCTTAAGTCTACCAAATTCTGTGTCTCGCTCATAAAAAATTCATTTAGGTCTTCGACTCTCAGTCTGGTTAGTGGCTCGCTAAAAACCGAGTCATATTGGGACTTGAGTAGCTCACTCATTTCCTTGCTGTCATCTGTGTTGGACCCATCTCATCTAAGTAGGGGCCCGATACTGGATGTTGTTCTAGACTTTGATTTGGAATAAGAAAAGAAATATTTTAGGATTCTTTCAGTTTCATTTATGGCTTTTAGCTTTTCCCACGTTTCTTGACTCCTGTAAGATTCCTTTAGCTTTAGTTCAATGTTTGCTATCTCTCTGACCAGTGCCTCCTTTAATATTACAGATATATTGGCCTCTCTTAACTGCTCTGTTATTCTTTGCCTTCACTTGTATAGGGACTATTAGGGAGTGCCTTTCTCTTTCTAGTTTACATCTTCTCTTCCTTTTCCTTTAAGGAATATGCCTTGAGCATGCCTCAAGTGCCACAGAGTTAATTTGTTCTAGACATAGGTTTGGATCCATGTTGCTTAACCCATCTTCCCGGTTTATATCACTTAGGACCTGGTTGACTTGGTCCCACCGATGTTTTTGTTAATGAAGTTGAATTTATTGAACTCTCCCTCGTGACTGATCACATTTTGTTGATCTGAGGGCCCTGCGCATACATGTCTGAACCTCTATTATGTTCTGTTCTGAATATATTGTTTTTGATGTGATAATTTTTCGTATCAGATCATCATTGTTAGTGAAGATGAGGTCCAGTGTATTCTCCATTCTTATTGGCTCTAGTATTTGCTGGTTTAAGGTGAATTTGGTGCAGAGATTTAAAAGCTCTGTGTGTGTGCGAGTTTTCATCCGAGCTGCCTCCTGGGGTTATCTTTGCTACAGTATTATTTGCTACATTCCTCCATTTTATGTTGGAGGATCTAATATTCAAAGATCACAATGTTAGGAAAATGATAGGATGGATAATGAGAACCTTCAAAACTAGGGATGCCAAGCAAATAATGATCCTCTTCAAATTGCTTGTTCTC